CTCGGGTTACACAGAGATCTGTTGTCCAGTGTTTAGCTGTCACTTTGGGTCTGATCTTGTTGAGGACTCATTATTGCCAGCTCAGGATTTTAGTGCGAGTCTGGCCAGATTTGGTGTTGTCCTTAAAGCCCCAGCACCTGGAGTCCTGTGATTACATGAGCCCCTCAGGGTATGTCCACACTGCAAAGGAGAACCCGTGGTGCTGAATCTCAGAGCCTGGGCCGACTGACTCGGGCTCTCGCTGCGGGGCTAAAAACAGCACAGCAAACCTAGAAAACATGCCGTAGATCTGGGCTCCCGGCAACATGTCGGGTATTAAGCCAGACTGCCCTCTTTTTGAGAGGTTTGCCCCCTTGCCCACCCGGTGTTGGGACAAAACCCAAAGTGGTTTTGGCCAGCATTGGCCGGGGGACTTGGTGTTAAAAGCATCCAGAGGGCAGGGTGAGTGGCTGTTCTGGACGCAGGGCAGAATGGCTGCGGGCCATAACTAGGGCCTCTCCTGGTTGCAATGGTGCTAAGCTGCCTGGTAACCAGCAGTTTGTCGTGTAGAGTAAAGGTCAGTGGCTCTTTGTTTCCCCGTCTGGAGTTAGACGAGCTGGTTCCCCTTGTAACGGAAAGCACAGCATGCTGGGCCGAAGTCAGCCCTGCGGTGACTTGCCAAGGCTTGAACCGGGGAGCAGTGTGACCCTTTGTCTGCAGTTATTTTCCTTGTTTTCTCCACCGTTAGGCAAAGGGGAGGCAGGATGAGGAGAGTGCCCCTTCTCCTTAGGCCGACGCAGCCCCTAATTTCTGGGGTGTCGGTTCCTGACCTGGCTGCGAGTCTTTGATTATCAGAGCCAGGTTTGGGTGGTCTCTGGTTGCGGGAGGTTTGGGTCTTTTCTGGGGTTGGATTTTCTCCGCCCCTTGGCTCGCTTCTCATTCTCGCACGCGGCCGCCCGGCCTGATTCCCAGTCGCCCCGCGCCATGTGTAGCCGCAGCAGAATGGCGCAGAGGGGCGGCCTGTCACCCCGCTTTGTCCTGATGGCAGGTGATGGGGAACTTAGGTACATCACTGGCACCGTCTCTTAGCGTCCCTCAGCTGAGCTCAGGAATAGGCCAGTCCTTGCAGCCGTTGGCTTGTCTCATAGTCTTTGCATCACCGTTGCTGCGCGGTTCCACGCGTCTCACGTGACTAGACTCTGGGGAACTTGGGTTTTATTTTGTCATTTTGATGGAGAAGGTTGATCATTATTTTTAAGCATTTTTAATTTTTTTTAAATGGATGTAAATATTCCCTGTTGTGGGAAACTCTGGGGAGGTCAGACAAAGTGGGGCTCAGACGATGGTTATTAATGGCAGGAGATGCTGAGATTCAAGTTAAAGCTTTATAACCATGAAGTCACAAATTGGCAGCATCACGTGTCAAAACAGACGAAGTAACTAGCCTTAAATCAAACGCTCGAGCAGCATTTTTCGTACTTAGTCTAGCTCTACATGTTGATCACCATTGCTGGAAATCAGCATTCACCGCCATGTACTAATCAAATCCAAGTTCCTCCGACACTAGATAGAACCCAGTCCCCCGGCTCACACCTCTCTGTGCCACTCCTAAAAACGAGGGTTTGGTATTTATTGCCCTGGAGCTTGTATTTCATCCGCCAGGTGAGGAGACCCTGCCTCTGACCGGAGTTGGGGGAGGAGAGAGAACGAGTCGGGGCTCTCCTCGTGGATGTTGAATCTCTGGCTACGTTGTAGCTGGCAGAGATTATTTTTCAGGTTGCCAGTAGCAGGCAGACGGATCTTTGAGCCTGTGTTGCTCGCGTGTGTCACGTCAAGTTACGATTCCCCACCTCCTCTGCCACCCTTGGCCAGCGTTTCTTCGCCTGGGTGCGTAGTAGGCGCATAGATACCAAGGCCAGAAGGGAGCATCCAGTCCAACCTTCTGCACATTGCAGGCCACAGACCTTCACCCACTCCTGCAACAGACCTGTAATCTCTGGCTGAGGAAGGGAAACCTGCCAGGGTCTCTGCCAAGCCAACCTGGTGGTGGTGGTGATTCCTTCCTGACCCCAAATGTGGAGATCAGTTAGACCTGGAGCATGTGGGTGAGACCCACCAGCCAGACACCTGGGGAAGAATTCCCTGTAGTAGCTCAGAGCCCTCCCTGTCTAGTGCCCCGTCTCTGGCCGACGGAGATATTTGCAGCTAGGCACCAGAGCACACGTTCAGGCGACAGATAAAAGGGCCGGGTTTCCAGAGGGGCTGAGCACCTGCCGTTGCCGGAGATGTCATGTAGGTGTGGAAACAGCCTGGCACCCTCCTGAAGATGGGTGCCGGGCAAGGGGTAGCTTGGTAAGTGCCACCTCCTATGGGAGGAGGCAAAATTCAAGTTCCAGGGGGTCATCTCGGAAGCTGTCCCTCTGGGCAGGTAACGAGATTGGGGCCAACGGAGCGGGGAGGGCTGGCTGGCTGCCACCAGGTTTGGGGCCCACAGCTCCACCCTCCTTTCCCTTTCCGCACCTGCAGTGAAGCTGACAGCACTGAGGTCCCTGGACCTGAGCCGCTGCCCCCATGTTGACGACTGGACCCTAAGCCGGCTGCATGTCTTCAAGGACAGCCTGGAGGAGCTCTCGCTGGCTGGGTGCCCCCAGGTCACGGAGCGGGGGCTGGCTTGCCTCCACCAACTCGAGTGAGTGGAAACGCTGGGAAGCGCGGTGCAGTGGTCAGAGCGCGGGGTGGGGAATCGGGACACCTGGGTTCGGAAGCTGGCTTTAGGACGGAGTGGAGGTTTAGGGTTTAGAGCAGAGGGAATGGGAATCGGGTGGGGTCTATTTCCGTCTCCTGAAGGAGAGTGATGCCTAGTGGTTAGATTATTTTCTGACCTCTAGGAGGGGAGTGGGGTCTAGCGGTTAGTGCAGCAGGCTGAGACTCAGGACACCTGGGTTCTCTCCCCAGCTTTGGAAGGGAAGTGGGGCCTAGTGATTAAAGCGCGGGGAGGGAGGGTAGGGTGGCTGGGAGTCAGGACTCCTGGGTTCTCTCCCCAACTCTGGAAAGGGAGTGGAGCCTACTGGTTAGAGCGGGGGGGGAGGGGCTTGGTCTCCCTCAGCTCTAGGAAGGGAGTAGGATCTAGTGGTTAGAGGAGCCAGGACTCCTGGGTTCTGTTCTGGGCTCCAGGTCTAATGGTTAGAGCAGGGGAGAGTCAGAACTCCTGGGCGCTATCCCTCACTTTCACTATCGCTCTGTGCCTCAGTTTCTCCCTCTGTGAGTGAGGGCGTGTTAACATCTGCCTCCGGGGGCAGCTGTGCGGCCTGGCTAATCAGCCATACAGGGCTTTGAGCTGCTCGGGTGAGCGTGCTCGGGAAGAGCCCAGGAGCATGAGGGTTCATCTTGCTCCACCCCTCAGGCAGCGCCGCTGCGCCAGCCAGGGGATCCGCCCTGAGTCGCACTCATGGAAAAGCCCCTGGCGGCTCTCAACCACGAGCGTCACCAGGAACGCTGCCACGCAGGCCCATGCGGGAGAGACAAGGCCTCCGCTGGGGTGGATGAGTCACCGCAGGGCGTGGTGCGGGCAGATCCTTTCCTTCCTCCTTGGCAGGGCGGCAGGGGCCCCCTCTCGGGCGGGTGCTGCGAAGGTGGGTGGCTGCTCCCCGGGTGCCCCTGGCTGGGGAGAACGGTGTGTTCTGCCCACGTGGGCGCTAACGCGAGGTGCTGTTCCAGCGAGGGCCAGGCCGCGTTAATGGGGCTCGGGGAAACCTGCTCGGTCTTCACCAACGGGTGTGAAAACGCCGCGTGCCCTGGCTCCCCGTGGATTGTACCGGTGCCCACCCAAGACACCCTGTGCACGGGGTTCACTTCCACAGCGCCTCTCCTGCTGGGAGCGGCGCTTGTGCGGACACCGACCTTCGCCCCAAGAGATCAAAGCACTTTCCAAACCCCCGTCGGTCTCCCCGTCCCCCCAGCGGAGAAATTGAGGCACGGGCAGGGAGTAGCAAGTTGCTTGAGTCTGTGCTACCTGGGAGTAGAACCCAAGTGTCCGGGCCACATTTCTCCCTGCTCTAACCACTAGACCCAGCTCCTTTCCCTGCGGCCAAAGGACCAGGGCCAGGCTTTTAAAGGTGCACTGGTGCCTGTCTCCCAGGGGAGCGGATTCCCGTTGCATTTCCAGTGGGAGTGAGGAGCCGAAAGACTTTAAAAATCCAGCCCTGGACTCTCTCTCTTCTATTGTCCTTTGAGGGGAGGCTGTGGGTTTATGGGCCGGTTGGAAGAGGGCCAGCGGGGCTTGCTGAAGGGATAGGGGGCGTCAGGGGCTGGGTGGGAGAAGGATCTGCCTCTGGTCCCAGCTCCGGGGGGGAACCTTTCTATATGAGTCACTTTCCAGTGGTCCGGGGGCCGTCAGTCCGTGGCAGCGTTACCCTAGCCACAAGACAGCTAATTGCTCTGTGTTTCGTTATCCCTTTTCCCCATCACCTCCCCAGGCACCTGCGACGCCTCGACCTCTCGCATCTGCCCTCGGTGCCGACCCCGGGGCTGATCCAGATCTTGGTGGAGGAGATGCTGCCGCAGTGCGAGGTGGTGGGGCTTGCCCCGGATTCTGGCGCCCAGACGAGCAGGGACGGAAGAGAGGAGCCTGGTGTCCCCAGCGGAGCCAGGAGAGCTGGTGAAATCCCTGCCTGACACCTGGCTGCTCTGCCCCCAGCTTTTCCTGACACTGATGGAAGAGGGCGGGAAGCCGCGCTCCCTTCAGCACCTTCCGATCACGGACAGCGAAGGACCCCAGCGTCGCGGTACCTTTGCGGGTGTGCCTGGGCCATCCTGGGCTATCCGTGCCCCCCAGCTTTGGTCTCACGGAGGACAGGGCTCGCAACCGGCTGAACCGTGCTGTGAGCATTAAAGGCCTCTCCCTGAGCCACTCTCGCATCCTTGTTTGCGGGAGAGGCCCGAGCGAAGGGAGAACTTGGGGATTCCCAAGAGACGGAGATGCAAGCGGCCGGGAGGCAAGGGGCCTTTCCAGCGCAGCGGGCTAGTTTGGTTTGGGTGGTGCCGGGCCCAACCGGGAGCCTGGAACGGCTCAAAGGGACCTGGGAGAAGGGAAGATTTTTTCGCTTTGGGCCGAGAAAGTTCTCGGAGCACAACTGTGCGGCATGTTCCCAACACCGCACTAGGCGGGAAACGGCAGGAAAGAAACGGTCCCTGTCCCCAACCCCGCCCTTTTCAGGCCATCTTCATCCTGGGAAGAAGCGACAGGCACCACAACCCCCTTTCCCCCTCCCATTTCAGGTCGGTTTGCGGGCGTGCGGGCAAGGTGGGAGGGCGGAGAGCTGGACGTGCCTCAGTATTTCTAGTCGGAGCCGGTCACGCCCGCGTCGTCTCCTCTCCCACCCACAGGCCTGGCTCAACGCTCCCTCCCGGCCTGCCTCCCGTTCCTCCTCCAGCCGCTCTGCCGCCAGCGGGACTTGCGGTGGCCCGGGGGGGTCCCAGGATGTGGGACAAGTCAGAGCTTTTATTGGACCCACTTCCGCCGGGGGGAGAGACGCGCTTCGGAGCCTCCTGGCGCCCTGGAAGGGACCCAAAGAAGAGCTCCGTGTTTGCTCCAAAGCATGTCCAACACAGGATCTCCCCTCCCCTCCATGTCCCTCCAGCTCAGATCCCCGGTGCCCGTCGCACGGGCGTTTCATGCCGCCGGCAGGATGGCACCTGGGTAGAAGCCATCCCACCTGCCCCTGCCCTCTCAGGGAGGCCATTAGCCACGGGGAAGCTTCCCTTCCCTGCTAGCCTTTGTCTCGGGCGTCAGCTGCCCAGCGGAGCCGCTGCCCGAGAAGTCTGCTGTGCGTGGGGATATGTCAGGGGCCTGGCGCCCGCGGGCTGAGCCTGGCACAGGAGCCGAGCCCGTTGCAGGCTGGGTTTGTGTTTTGAAAGCCCTTGGGTGTTTTTGCATCTGGTGGTTTGGGGTCTGAGTGGAGGAGCCTGGCCAGCAGCTCGCCCCCGGGGGAAAGGGGCTGGCACGTCCTGCCCCTCGCGTGAGGCCATGAGACCGTGCGTCTCGTTGTGTGGTGGTGCCTGGGGGCGCCCGACACCAGCGCTTCTGAGCCTCACCACTACGACTGACCCACAACCCCCTCGTGAGCCTGGCGAGGGGCAGCCCTGGGCCCAGCAAGGAGTGATTTGTTCAGAGTAGAGTTCAGAACCCAGGAGTCCTGGCTCCCAGCCCCCCCGCTCTAACCACTAACCCCACTCCCCTCCCAGAGCTGGGGATGGAACCCAGGAGTCCTGGCCCCTCGCCCCTTCCCCCCTGCTCTAACCACTAGACCCCATTTCCCCCTCCCCCGAGCCAGGAATAGAACCCAGGAGTTCTGCTGCCCCAGCCCCCCTGCCCTAACCAGCAAAGCCAGAAATGGACCTCGCTGGCTCCGGCAGAGTGGAAATGCTGACGGGCTGTTTATTTTTAGCAGCAGGTTCATGGTTCAAACCCCGTTATCAGCTCCGCGTGCCTGTCTGGCTGTGACCCAGGCCGGGAGCGAACGCTGCCCCCCGGGTGCCCCAGCCAGAGGCCTCATAGCTCCCTGCCGGCTCCCGATTCCCAGGGCATTGGGGGATTTTGGTTGCTCCATTTCGGGTGTCGGTGGGGGAGGTGAAAGCCCAGCCTGCCCCCGGCCAGCGAGCTCTCGTTTTCTTGGCAGGAGGTCGGGGCGAGGCAGGTGATTTTGGGACTGATCCTGCCTCAGTTTGGCTGCTGGGGGCAGGACGGGGAAGCTTGGGCTTCTCTGCATTAGCAAGAAGGGGCGTTTTTCCTGCGGGGTGTCGGCTGTGTTGCAGTGACCAGGCCGGGAGGCCCCAGGGTAGCCGGTCTCGCCTCGCCGCCACAGGGGGAAATGGGCCGCCAGGTTGTCCCCCCCGGACCGTAGAACCAGTTGGACCTGCTGTGTCATGCGGGTCGCTGCATTCCCCCAGGGGCCCCTCCAGCAGGATGTGTGTGTGGCTGAGGCGTGTCTCTCTTCTCCGCCGTGTTGGTCCCAAGGCTCTGGATTTGAAGCCCTCAAGGGATGGAGAAAGGCTGGCTCAGACCCATGGTCCTGCTGGCTCAGGGTCCTGTCTCTGACCGTGGCCGGCGCTGGCTGCTTCAGAGGGAATGAACAGAACAGGACAATTATTGCGTGAGCCATCCCCTGCCGTCCAGTCCCAGCTTGGGGCAGTCAGAGGTTTAGGGACACCCAGAGCATGGGGTTGCGTCCCTGACCATCTTGGCTAATAGCCATTCATGGACCTGTCCTCCAGGGGCTGAACTCATTCCGTTTTGAACCCAGTTCTCCTTCACAACATCCCCTGGCAAGGAGTTCCGCAGGTTGTCTGTGCGTCGGGTGAAGTCCTTCCGTTTGCTTTCATCCTGCCACCTGTTCGTTTCCCCGGGTGACCCCTGGTGGGGGTGTTAGGCGAAGGGGTAAGTAACACTTCCCTACTCGCTTCTCTGCGCCCTCTGTGATTTCTCAGCCCTTTCCCCCACCCCCCCTCAAGGCTACTTAACACACTTCGGTGGCACGGCTGCCGTGTAGCCGCTCGCTGCGGCAGGAGCCGGGCTCTCCCAGCCCTGGCGTTAAGCTGTCTGCCTGGCTGCACAAGGTCTCTCGGGGTGTGAGCGATGGGCCTGGCTCGGCTGGGCTGCTGTTTGCCCGTCCCCATGATTCTCCCCGCGGTGGGAACCTCGCGCCGGCTGACACGGGGGGGGGGTTGAGACACCAGCTTTTGCACCACAAGCTGCGCAAGCCGGAAACCGTCTTGAGTGTTGTAAACGCCTGGATCCCCCCGATGGCTGGGGGGTCCCTGTGGGCAGCTGGGCCGGCTCAAGAAGTCCCTGTACGTGATGTAACCGTCCCCCTCTTCCCCTTTCTCACAGCCGCTGCGTCTGCCTGTTTTCCTCCACCGCCGCCCCGTGAGAAACAAAGGTCGTTGTGCGGCTGTCGTCAGGCCTCCGCCACGATCTGGCTTCCCAGGATCCCCCGGACCTGCTCCTTGGGGGTGGGTCGGTCCCACCGGCTGCCTTGGGGGGGTGCCGATTGCACGTGGCCGTGGGGTGCTGGGCAGCGCTGGCAGGGGGCAGGAGCCGCTTTGTAGCGTGGGCCGAGGGTGACCAGACAGCGAATGTGACAAATCAGGACGGGGGTGGGGGGTAATAGGAGCCTATATAAGAAAAAGACCCAAAAACTGTCCCTATAAAATCAGGGCAGCTGGTCACCCTACATGGGGGGCTCAGCGGCATCCGATTGGATCAACTCCACTGTTGCTCCGAGCCCCGGATGTGCACAGGCCGGGGCCTGGTTTCCCCCGTTCTGCGCTCCCCCCCCCCCCAGCCTTTCATCCCAGTAAGGACGTGCCCGGGCTCTGTCATCCTCTGCTCGAGTCCTGGGCAAGTCCTCCTCTCGCTCCTGCCTCAGTTTCCCCACAGGGCAATGATCCTCCTCCTGTGCTACGAGCTCCCAGCTGGGCCAAACACCAGGGCCGGCTCTGTCCTGCTGCTCCCCTTTGGTAGGACGGGTGGCAGGGCCCCAGGCTGGGTTTTGACCCCGAGAAGGGAGCGGGGCTGGAGGCAGGAAACCATCAGGAACTTGGCCGTTGCTTTGACATGGGAGGGCCCTGCCACCAGGCAGATGGAGGCTGGGGAAGAACCCGCAGGCGCCAGGGGAAGGAGCCGGGAGCTGCCCCGCCCCGTCCTGGGGGAGAGTCTCCCAGCTCCCTGGGTGGCCAAACCTGAATCTCTCCCCACCCCCACGCGGTGCGAACGCTCCCTGCCCGGCGCTGGGGAAACATGTCCAGACAAAGGGGTGGCAGGTGGTGGCCACGGACCTGCCCGGGCGGGGCGGGCTGAGAGCCGTAGAACCAAACAGCAAACCCTGGATGTGATGGAAACCAGGCCGGGGGGTGGGGGTCAGCCCCCCGTACTCCCAGCTAGGGTGACCAGACAGCAAGTGTGAAAAATCAGGATGGGGGTGGAGGGTAATAGGAGTCTATATAAGACAAAGCCCCAAATATCGGGCCTGTCCCTATAAAATCGGGACATCTGGTCACCAGAGACCCAGCCCCCCCTGGGCTGGGTTTTCGGACGCTCTGCGGAGCCGGCTGGGGACGGGGCGTTTCCTGCAGAGCCCGGAGCCGATTCAGCTTTATGAATATTTGATGGCAGATGAAAGCGTGCCAGGAGCTTGGCTGAAAGGCCCCACCCTTCCCACTGCCTTGTGCGTGGGCAGGGCCGCCCGGGTATTTCAGGACTGGTGCTTTGCTTTGCCTTTTCCTTCCCACCGGCGGAGGGGGGCCAGGGGGTGGTTTGTACGCTCCGGGTTTAGGACGTGACTCAGAGGCGGGTGAGTGTCGCGCAGAACCAGCAAGAGGAGCCGAATCGCCTGGAGGTGAGAGCGGGGTGGGGAGCGGGGGCTGAAGCAATCTGCCAAGGGGCGGGGGGTGGCCCAGGACGCTGGCTTGGAGCTCCTCGGGGCGGAGCCCCCCGGCCCCTGGTGGGCGATTGCAGGGTGGGACGAGGTCGGACCGGCCGGGAGTTCAGACACATCTTCCTGGGAAGCCAGGATGGATTTTTCGGGCCGGATCCTGGGCCGGGGCTGCCTGGCTGGGAAGGAGAGAGACGCCATCAATAAATCCAGAGGGAAACTGAGGCCAGGCCTTGGCCCCTGTCCCTGGGCTCCCGGTGGCCTTTGGGGTGGGCAGAAATAAACCCCTCCCCCCCCAGGTCTGGCACTGGCATGGTGCTGGGGATGTGTCCTGTCCTGTCCTGGGCTCGGGAGAGTGGGCTGGTGGCTGGTTGTGCTTTGAGAGGCAGGGGGAGGAGCTACCCCCCCCCACCGGCTGCACCCCAAAGCTTTCCTTTGAATTCCCCCCACCCCGGAGCTGAGCAGGCCGGCTTGGGTTAGCCCTTGCTCCCGGGGGCGCTGAGACCTGGACCCCTGACACCCCCAGGGCTGCTCTCCCAGTGCCCCTCACTCCTGACCCGCAGCCCAGGGGTGCTATTTGGGGGGGCGGGCGGGTTCCTCCCCCCAGTTTCAGACAGCAGCTCAGCTGCTGCATGTCCTAGCCCCAGCCCCCCCGCAGAGCTCTCACCTGCCCTGGGTGTGGCCTGGGGCTTCCCAGGGGAGAGGGGCTGGTCCCAGGCCTGCCCCGGGGCAGGGAGTCAGGAGCTTGTTTCCGGAGCCAGGAGGATTGAGAGAAGGAAGGCTGGGGACTAAATTCAGGTTCTGGAAGCCTGTAAAACAGGAGTCCCTGGCGGCGGGGGTCGTGGACGGGAGAGAAGAAGTCCAGCCAAGTCCCCTGAGCCAAGGTTACGTTTGGAAAAGGGGGGATTGGGGGGTGCCGGTGAAAAGAAGGGGCCGAACCCCAGGGCAGGGCGAGCCGGGTGTCGGGCGGTTCCCACCCTACCTGTGGTCCTGACGTGGCCTGAGCTCCTCACAAGGTCTGACCCGTTTCCCCGCCCGGCCCCCCGGGGAGGTCGGACGGGCTGTCGGGCCCATGGTACAGATGGGGCACTGGGGTGCACACAGCACAGGTCAGATTTTTCTAAGGTGAGAGTTTCAAAAGCTCCCGGGTTAGCTGCTTTGTAACCCCCGCGAGCCAGCCAGCTCATCTTTGGGCGCTTGCAAACCTTGCAGCCTCTGTCCCTGTCGGTGGGCCGGAGGTCAGAGGGGAAGGCCAGGGCGGGGGGAGAACCCGGGTCCCTCCGGGCCCGCAGACCAGCTGCGCGCTCTGCCGCAGGCTGCAAAAACCAGAGGCCTCTGATGGGAGCAGCAAACCCCAGGCGGCCAGTTCTCTGAGCCTCCAGCGAACGGTCCCAGGCCCGTGGGGAGGAGGGTTGGTCAACAGCCTGAAAAGCAGCCCGGAGGTTAGGGAGGCTGGAGACTCGGCCGAGAGGAGATCACTTAACCCCCCGCAGGGTGGCAGGTTCTGCCCCGGGCTGGACTGCTGCACAAGTTCAGATTTTACCGGAAAACCGTTTGGTTTGGTCCTTTTCTGCTCCGAGTGTGAGACAAAGGAGGAGGGAGAAAGTGGCGTGTTGAGCATCCGAGGGGTTGATGGGTTCTTAGGGGGTCAGCTGTAACCAGGCCAACTCCGGGACAAAGCCCAGAACCTGCCTCCGCAGCGCCCACGACCCTGTGGTGTTGTGTCCTCTTCTGCCAGGCGCTGGGAGTGGGTGAGCGGGGATGGGTCACTTGGTGATTCCCTGTCCTGTTCGTCCCCTCGGGGGCACCTGGCCCTGCCCGCTGTCAGCAGACAGGACGCTGGGCGGGACGCACTGTTGCTCTGACCCAGGCTGGGTCTCTCATTCCCTGGCACCATCTGTGTGCTCAGCACCGGTCAGCATATGCCAGAAAAGAGAGCCCAGAGCCAATGCCTATAAAACGTGTAGCCCCCTGCACTCCCGACCTGAGTCTCTCTGCCCTGCAGGTCCCACCAGCTTGGCTTGACCGTGCTCCGCCGGGGAACAAGCTGATCCCAAAGCCACCCGGATTTCTGACGTGGGCGATGATGTGGCCCTGGCTCGCTGGGGATGAGGCCAAGGGACCCCCAGCCCCCCAGGGGCTGTGACGCTGACCGGGAGCTCCCAGACAGGCCGCTGCGGCCGGCTGCCGATCTCGGATCGTCTCTTCGCAGAGACCAGACTCGGGCCGTCGCTAGCCCAGCGAGGGGAATGGCTGCTCCAGGCGTGGGGGAAACCCTGTGTTGAGTCATGCAAGGTACCGTGGAGCCAACGAATTGTCCCGGTTCAGGGCCATTGCACCTGCATCTCCTCTCCGCAATGGCTCCCACCCTCAGGCTGCCGGTCCTGGCTGGGGTGGAGACCCGTCTCTGTCTGTCCCGGGCTGCCCGGCCCCTTCCCGTGCCATTATTCCCGGCTCCCCCAGAGCCACTGGTGACCACCCGGTTCCTCCTAAGCAAGCGTATTTTATCCGTAAGGTAAAAACACGAGAGAGAAAACCAAACAGAGACCCCCCGGCCCCTGCCCCCACCTCCACAAAGGCTCTGGTCAGTGTCCTTCCCTAAGGCCTGCCCCCCGTCCAGTTGTTTGCTGGATCAGAACAAAGCCCAGAGCCTGGTTCACACCCACCCATCCCCGGTCCCTGGAGACTCCAGTGGGAATCAGAGCTGCCAGTCGCTCCGGGGGGGGGTCCGTAGGGCTGATAGCAGGAGGAATCCCTCTGCCCTCCCCCCCATCTCAGCCTAGCCCAGCCACCGCTGCATTGCAATGCGCCGGCCCTCCAGAGGTTACGCATCATCCAGGAAGCTCTGGGGTGGTTCTGTCGGTCCCAGGAGTAGCCAAAGAAACGCTCGCACAAGGCAAATCGCTCACCAGAGCCGGGGAAACGAGCCAGGGTAGAGGGCGCAGGAGGAGAGGGGCCGGGGCCGGGGCCAGGGCCAGGGCCGGGGCCGCCTTGACGAAGCTGCTAATTGCCCCGAGGTGCCCGCCGTGGGGAAAGCAAAGGGGTGGCCAATGTGGCGCAAACCTCCCCTCCCGGCGGAGACGCAGGTGCTGGGCCAGGGGCCTGCAGGCTGGCAGCCGGCCGGCGCTCTGGTCACACAGGGACGGCACGGCCGGGGCTGCTGACTCAGGGGCTCGCCAGGGCCGTGCAGCTGGAGTCCAGGCTCTGGGACCCCCCCCAGCCGGAGTCAGTGGCACTGGTTGTGTAGACAGACCCCCCCGCAGGCCCGCGCGCGCTCCCCCCGAGAAGCCCTGCTGTCGGCTCCCAGGCAGGCTGGGGGCTGGCTGCCCGGCCCGCTGAGAAGGCAGGAAAAGCCCAGGGAGGAGAAGGTGAGCAGGGCTCCGGCCGGGGAAGCTCGCGGCTCCATGGGAAGGGTGGGGGGCTGATGGCCACTCACTCGAACTGCTGCCCGGGGACTTGCTCCTGTCCTCTAAGCAGGATCTGGAGGATGCTGGAAGCCGCCCGTGGGCGCTGCCCGTGGGTTGCTGAGTGCGCCGGGCGCAGCCAGGTGGCAGCATCTGCCCGTGGGGCCAGCACATTAGGTCTGTGGTAATAACAACCTGTGGCTAACTAATCACTGGTAACTATGTGATGAGATTACTGGTTCTGTGGATGAAGGGAAAGCAGTGGATGTATTGTTTCTTGACTTCAGCAAAGCTTTTGACACGGTCTCCCACAGTATTCTTGTCAGCAAGTTAAGGAAGTATGGGCTGGATGAATGCACTATAAGGTGGGTAGAAAGCTGGCTAGATTGTCGGGCTCAACGGGTAGTGATCAACGGCTCCATGTCTAGTTGGCAGCCGGTACCAAGTGGAGTGCCCCAAAGGGTCGGTCCTGGGGCCGGTTTTGTTCAATATCTTCATAAATGATCTGGAGGATGGTGTGGATTGCACTCTCAGCAAATTTGCGGATGATACTAAACTGGGAGGAGTGGTAGATACGCTGGAGGGGAGGGATAGGATACAGAAGGACCTAGACAAATTGGAGGATTGGGCCAAAAGAAATCTGATGAGGTTCAATAAGGATAAGTGCAGGGTCCTGCACTTAGGACGGAAGAACCCAATGCACAGCTACAGACTAGGGACCGAATGGCTAGGCAGCAGTTCTGCGGAAAAGGACCTAGGGGTGACAGTGGACGAGAAGCTGGATATGAGTCAGCAGTGTGCCCTTGTTGCCAAGAAGGCCAATGGCATTTTGGGATGTATAAGTAGGGGCATAGCGAGCAGATCGAGGGACGTGATCGTTCCCCTCTATTCGACATTGGTGAGGCCTCATCTGGAGTACTGTGTCCAGTTTTGGGCCCCACACTACAAGAAGGATGTGGATAAATTGGAGAGAGTCCAGCGAAGGGCAACAAAAATGATTAGGGGTCTAGACACATGAGTTATGAGGAGAGGCTGAGGGAGCTGGGATTGTTTAGCCTGCAGAAGAGAAGAATGAGGGGGATTTGATAGCTGCTTTCAACTACCTGAAAGGGGGTTCCAAAGAGGATGGCTCTAGACTGTTCTCAATGGTATCAGATGACAGAACGAGGAGTAATGGTCTCAAGTTGCAGTGGGGGAGGTTTAGGTTGGATATTAGGAAAAACTTTTTCACTAAGAGGGTGGTGAAACACTGGAATGCGTTACCTAGGGAGGTGGTAGAATCTCCTTCCTTAGAGGTTTTTAAGGTCAGGCTTGACCAAGCCCTGGCTGGGATGATTTAACTGGGAATTGGTCCTGCTTCAAGCAGGGGGTTGGACTAGATGACCTTCTGGGGTCCCTTCCAACCCTGATATTCTATGATTCTATGAACTAGTTTGCTGATAACCAATTAATCTGAAGTCAATGGGTGACAATGTTCCCGGTGATGCTCTGGCACTAAACCGTGGTCGAGTCAGCGGCAAGTGGCCCGGCTCAGCCCCGGGTGCCACCAGGTGCCCGTCCCCACAGGGCTGGGCCACCCTGCAGCTGCTCTGACCTTCCGGGGGTCTGGGCCGGTTACACTCTTAGGCCCCTGATCGTGTGTCATTCGGGCCTGGGGCTTGTTCCTCTGTGGTGCCCACGTCGGCTATTCCTGGGGTCCCGCTTCCCCGGCAGCTTTGCATGGGCTCAGCCCCGGGTTCGTCAGTTCGCTCTCGGCCTGGGTGTATTTGTCATTCTTGCAGGTGCTCTGTGGCTAAGAGCGCTTGGCCTCTCCGCCACCAGCCGTGCAGGTGAGCTGGGGTGATGCTCGGTGAAAGCCCCCCTCAGGAACCTTAATGGGGTGGGAGTCTTGCCCTCAGCCCAGCCTGGAACCCTTCCCTGGGCTCTCGCCGGGGTGAGCAATCCCGGCTCGTCTCCAGCACTGCTCAGCAGCATTGGTCCCATTGTACAGATGGGAAAACTGAGGCCCTTAATATACCATAAGAACATAAGACTGGCCCTGCTGGATCAGACCAAAGGTCCGTCTAGCCCAGTGTCCTGTCCTCCGACAGTGGCCAGGGCCAGGTGCCCCAGAGGGAATGAACAGAACAGGGAATCATCCAGTGATCCATCCCATGTTGTCCATTCCCAGCTTCTGGCAAACAGAGGCTACGGACACCATCCCTGCCCATAGTCTTGGCCTTCACAACATCCTCTGGCAAGGAGTTCCACAGGTCGACTGTGCATTGTGTGAAGAAATACTTCCTTTGGTTTGTTTTAAACCTGCTGCCTATTAATTTCACTGAGTGTCCCCTAGTTCTTGAGTTATGAGGACGAGTAAACAAAACATCCTTATCTACTTTCTCCCCACCCATCATGATTTTATAGACCTTGAGCATATCCCCCCCCCAGAGTCGTCTCTTTTCCAGGCTGACAAGTCCCCGTCTTCTTAATTTCTCCTTAGTCAGCAGCTGTTCCAGACCTCCAGTCATTCTTGTTGCCCTTTTCTGAACCTTTTCCAATTCCAATTGATCTTTTTTGAGATGGGGCGACCACATCCGCACGCAGGATTCAAGCTGTGGGTGTCCCATGGATTGATACAGAGGCAATGTGATATTTTCTGTCCCATTATCTGTCCCTTTCTTCGACTATTCCCAGCATCCTGTTGGCTTTTTTGGCTGCCGCTGCCCGTGGAGTGGATGTTTTCAGAGAACTCTCCGCAGTGACTCCAAGATCTCTCTGGAGTGGCAACAGCTAATTCAGACCCCATCATTGTATATGTACAGTTGGGATTATGCTTTCCAATGTGCATTACTTTGCACTTATCAACGCTGAATTTCATCTGCCATGTTGTTGCCCAGTCCCCCAGTTTTGTGAGATCCTTTTGTAGCTCTTCGCAGCCTGCCTGGGACTTAACTAGCTTAAGTAATTTAGTATCGTCTGCAAATTTTGCCACCTCACTGTTACCCCTTTTTCATTTATGAATAAGTTGTGTAGGGCTGGTCCCAGTACGGACCCCTGGGGGACACCGCTATTTACCTCTCTCCGTTCTGAAAACTGACCCTTTCTTTCTTTTAACCAGTTACCGATCCATGAGAGCACCTTCCCTCTTATCCCATGGCAGCTCACTTTGCGTCAGAGCCTTTGGTGAGGGACCTTGTCAAAGGCTTTCTGGAAATCTAAGTACATTATCTCCACTGGATCCCCTTGGTCCACATGCTTGTTGATCCCCCAAAGAATTCTAGTAGATGGGTGAGGCATGATTTCCCGTTACTAAAACCATGTTGACTCTTCCTCAACCAATTATGTTCACCTCTGTGTCTGACAATATGGCCCGTTATTATAAAGAACAATCCATTAACCACCCCCTCTGTGTCGCAGGCTCCGTGATGGCAGAGGACCATGAAGGGGACCAAGCTGCTGACGGCGACCTTGGCCCTGCTGACGCTGCTGGCCCTGAAGGCCTATATGGACTGGAGCTTGGAGCAGCCCGAGCACCTGCCCGCCCCTGAGCCCGCCTGGCACCCCAGCCCCCTCCCGCTCACCCAGCCGCTGGGGGACGACCCGGCGGGGCTGCTGCTCCGTCTCAACGCCTCTCTCCAGCGGCTCCGCCACAGCGTCCCCGAGGCGGACGCCTACTGGAACCGCCAGCTGCGCGGGCTCTTCCAGGCGCTGGAGGGGGGGCCGGCCAACGGCACGTGGGGCTGCGGGGACGGGCCGGCCGCGGCGGCCGCCATCAGGGACTTCGCCTCGTACCCAGACCAGCACCGGCGTTTCGTGCTGCATGCCGGGTGCCGCAGCTTCCCGCTGCTGGTGAACCAGCCCCACAAGTGCGCCGGCAACGGGACCTTCCTGCTGCTGGCCATCAAGTCGGTGCCGGGCAACTTCGCCGCCCGCCAGGCCGTGCGGGAGACCTGGGGCCGGGAGGGGGCACACGGGGGGCAGCCGGTGCGCACCATCTTCCTGATGGGCGCGGCCCACGGCCCGCACCAGCCCGACCTGCGGCGCCTCATCGCCGCCGAGAGCCAGGCCTACGGCGACGTCCTGGTGTGGGACTTCGAGGACACGTTCTTCAACCTGACCCTCAAGGACTTCCTCTTCCTGGGCTGGGCGCTGGCGCACTGCCCCGACGCCCGCTTCGTGCTCAAGGGCGACGACGACGTTTTCATCAACACGCCGCGGGTGCTGGCCTACCTGGGGGCGCTGGACACGCGCCGGGCCCGGACGCTCTACACCGGGCAGGTCATGGCCAACGCCTCCCCCTTCCGCCAGGCCTCCAGCAAGTACTACATCCCCGAGTCCTTCTACGCGGGGCCGTACCCGGCCTACGCCGGCGGGGGCGGCTACATCTTCTCGGGCCGCCTGGCCCCGGCCCTCTTCCTGCTGGCTCAGCACGTGGCCTTCTACCCCATCGACGACGTCTACACCGGGCTCTGCTTCCAGGCGCTGGGGGTGCGGGCCGAGGCCCACCCCGAATTCCAGACCTTCGACATCGCCGAGAAAGACCGGGCCGACCCCTGCGCGCACCGGCAGCTGCTCCTGGTGCATCGGCGCAGCCCGCCGCAGACCATGCAGCTCTGGCTGCAGCTTCGCGACCCCCAGCTCAAATGCTGATGGGGGGCTGAGCGCTGGCTGCAGGGGCCCCAGCCTTGAGCGGAGAGGGCCCTGGGACATGGGGCTCCGGCAGGGCTGGAGGGGGGCTGCCCGTGCTGGGGGCCAGGACAAGAGAACGGGCCAAGCGGAAACGTGGTCCCGGCTCTCTGCCGCCAGACCGGCAAATTCCCTCCCGCTGCCTTTAACTGGCCCCCCAGCTGTGAGCTGGGCCATGGACCTGGGCGCGCCTGGGGGCGGGGGCACTGCTCTGGGCAGCTGGCTGTCGTTCCCGGATGGGCCATTAAACAGTGTCTGGCAGGACCGTGGCTCGGCATGGGTGCGAATCGAGTGGCGCTTCCCCGACCCAGCCCCGCTCTGTGCAATTCCGTCTTCTGAGTGCAGCGGACCTGGGTGTGGAGGGAACCCAGGGCTGCAGGTCGGGAGCGGGGGGCACCGGCAGAGCCGGGGGGGGGGCAGGACTGGGCTGGCGGGGGCTGCGGGTCGGGAGGAGGGGGGGTGGAACCTGTGGCTGCAGGGGCAGGTCTGGCTGCTGGCCCCTGGTGTGAACTAGTCTCACGGGGCCCCAGCCCGGCGCTTGGGCACAGGGCAAACCTTCCCCTCGCGCCCTGGCTGCGTCAGCCTCACCCCAATGCTAGCGCCCCCTGGAGGCTGCCACTGGTGGTTACACTCTGTCCCCTGCAAGGTGAGAGCTGAAGGGTTGGAGAACAAAGGAATCAGGTGACCACCTGGCCTGGGAAAGGGAACAAAGCCCAGAGGAGGAGGGGCTGGAGGGGGGTTTTCAGTTTGGGGCTGGCTGGGACATGGAGTGAAGTGCAGACGTGGTTGTCTGGCTCACTGCCCCCAAAATGGACCCGGCTGAGGGGTCCCGTTCTCTGCACCTACAAGTTCTGCGTTAGACCATGTTCCTGTCGTCTAACAGAAGTTTATTAGATGACAGGGAAGGCGGGAGGGGCGGATGGACGGAGGTGGTCTGGGGGGCGGATGGACGGAGGTGGGGGGGGGGAAGGCAGGTGATGCTCTGGAACAGCTCCCTATGAAGCCCCAAACTGACTCCCTCCAGCCCCTCCTCCTCTGGGCTTTGTCCCTGTCCCGGGCCAGGAGGTCACCAAATTCCTTTGTTCTCCAACCCTTTAGCTCTCACCTTGCAGGGGGGAAGGGCCCAGGCCATCAGTGTCCAGGAAACAGGGTGTCGGCCATTCTCTGTGTCCAGACCCCTGCACACACCTGCCCTCTAGGGCTCTGCAATGATCATATACCCTCATCCCACCCCCTAGATACTTAAGAACTGCCTGGGGGAAACTGAGGCACCCCCACAATATTCAGAGGAAACATTAAGAACAGTCCCGCTTCGTCACAGCAGTGCAGCCTCTATCCAGCCGGCAGGGGGGGCCCTGTGCTGGCCCTTTAACCCCTGCTGCTGCCTGGGGGGCTGGTACCCTCGGCCTGGGGCACCCCTGTGGGCAGGCAGCCGGGCTCAGATACACTCCCTCCTCCCTGGTGCCGGCAGCAGAGACTCCCCCTCTGGGAGGCACAGCCCCGGGCTCCTGCTACCTGTAACCCCAGCCACCTGCCCCCACGTGTCCCACCACAAACCGCCTGCTAACCCCAGCCAGGAGACTCGACTTCCCTGGGCCGGCTGGTGGGTCGGGAACTCCCCACACACCAGCCCAGAGGCTGAGGCCAGCGAGGGACCCGGCTGCCCAGGTACGAGGGGACGCGGAGACGTTAGTGCACAGAGAGTTTATTGACCCCCCCACCGGTACAGCCAGGCCCCAGGGGCCTGTGGCTCCACGGCAGAGCCAGATTTCCCGGCCCGCCAGTGTAACAGCAACTGCCTAGCCTACATTTAACAGAGCCAGGCACCTGGGGGCTGACCGGCGAGGGACCGGCTCCGCCTGGCTGACTCCCGGGGAACCATGGTTCAACCCCGCACCGTTCTCCCGAGCCTAGAAAGCAGAACCAGAGGCTGATTTATGAGATTGCACTAAAATACCCTGCCCCCTCACCCCACAGCAAAGCCCCCCGGAGCCCAGGGACCCCAGGGGGGGCACAGTGAGTCCCTGCGGCTGGCTGGTGGGCAGGCAGATGCTGGCCCCTGGGGCGGGGTAGATGGTGCCGCTCTCCCGGCATCAGCCGGCCGCAGCCGAGATCCGTGCCCACCCCCTCCAGCGAAGCGGCTCCCTGCCCCAGCCTGATGCTAGGGGCCCGGGGGCAGCTGCCCGCTGGCCCCAGGGACAAGCTCTCCCTAAGCAGCCAGGGCGAGGCCAGGCGCTAATCTAAGCCGGGGGGCGGCGCTGTCTGAGCTAGGACTTCCCCTGGCGCCAGGCCCGCTGCCCCAGTGGCCGTGTGCCCTGCCCCCTGGCACAGCGCAGCCAGGGGAAACCAAGGCAGGAGGGGCGGGGTCAGCGACGGCCTCACTTCTCGAAGTGCTCCAGGGGGTAGTGGTCGCCATACAGCTGGAGGTGCCGCAGCAGCGCCTCCTGCTGCTTCTGCAGGTGCGGGGGCATCTCATGGTACACGTCCGAGAACAGGTGCTGGGGGCCAGGCTTCAGCTTCCGCTCCGCCTGCTCAAAGGCCTCCATGACCTGGCCGGGGGGCGGGGCAGTGTTAGCCAGCCCCTGCTCCGCCCACTGGGCCCCGCCCCCTCCCCGAGCCGGGCAGGACCCGGTGTCCTGGCTCCCAGCCCCCTGCTCCGCCCACTGGGCCCCTCCTGCTCCCTCCCGAGCTGGGCAGGACCCGGTGTCCTGGCTCCCAGCCCCTGTCCGCCACTGGCCCTCCTGCTCCTCACTGAGCGGGCAGGACCCGGTGTCCTGGCTCCCAGCCCCCTGCTCCGCCCACTAGGCCCCTCCTGCTCCCTCCCCGAGCCGGGCAGGACCCGGTGTCCTGGCTCCCAGCCCCCTGCTCCGCCCACTGGGCCCCTCCTGCTCCCTCACTGAGCCGGGCAGGACCCAGTGTCCTGGCTCCCAGCCCCCTGCTCCGCCCACTGGGCCCCGCCCCCTCCCCGAGCCGGGCAGGACCCGGTGTCCTGGCTCCCAGCCCCCTGCTCCGCCCACTAGGCCCCTCCTGCTCCCTCCCCGAGCCGGGCAGGACCCGGTGTCCTGGCTCCCAGCCCCTGCTCGCCCACTAGGCCCCGCCCTCCCCGAGCCGGCAGACCGGTGTCCTGGCTCCCAGCCCCTGCCCGCCCACTGGCCCCGCCCCCCCGAGCGGGCAGACCCAGTGTCCTGGCCCCAGCCCCTGCTCCGCCCACTAGGCCCCTCCTGCTCCCTCCCCGAGCCGGGCAGGACCCGGTGTCCTGGCTCCCAGCCCCCTGCTCCGCCCACTGGGCCCTCCTGCCCTCACTGAGCCGGGCAGGACCCAGTGTCCTGGCTCCCAGCCCCTGCTCCGCCCACTGGGCCCCGCCCCCTCCCGAGCCGGGCAGGACCCGGTGTCCTGGCTCCCAGCCCCTGCTCCGCCCACTAGGCCCCGCCCCTCCCCGAGCCGGGCAGGACCCGGTGTCCTGGCTCCCAGCCCCCTGCTCCGCCCACTGGGCCCCGCCCCCTCCCCGAGCTGGGCAGGACCCAGTGTCCTGGCTCCCAGCCCCCTGCTCCGCCCACTGGGCCCCTCCTGCTCCCTCCCCGAGCCGGGCAGGACCCAGTGTCCTGGCTCCCAGCCCCCTGCTCCGCCCACTGGGCCCCTCCTGCTCCCTCCCCGAGCCAGGCAGGACCCAGGAGTCCCGCCTCCTCCCCCCCCACTCTACTCACTAGACCCCACTCCCCTCCCAGAGCCAGGGAGAGAACCCAGGAGTCCTGGCTCCCAACCTACCCCTCCTTCCCCTGCCCTTAACCTCCAGGGTGCTGGCTCGGGCCCAGCAAGGAGTGGAGTCGCTCTCCCCTGCCATCTCTTCCCAGCCCCGGTGGGCTCCCAGTTGGTGGGGCAGCCCCCCCACACTGGGTGCTGGCCAAGCCCCATGGGTCCTGGGTGGGGGGGGACCCCTCACTCACCCTCTTGCGGGATTTCTTCCTCCAGCTCTTCTCCTGCTCCTCGTCCCACCAGCCCCGGCCCCGCAGGTAGTGATGCAGGCGGGAGATGGGGTGGTCCTGCTTGTCCCAGTAGTTCACCTCGTCCACCGAGCGATAGGCCGAGCTGTCGTCACTCGTGCTGTGGTGCCCAATCCTGGGGGAGGGGGAGGATCAAGGCGTGAGCCCTGCCGCCCTGCCCCCCCACCCCCCGCACTCTGCCCCCTGCCCCACCTGTAGGTCATGGCCTCGATGAGGAAGGGCTGGTTCTCGGCGATGGCCCGGCGCCGGGCCTCCCGCGTGGCGTTGTACACGGCGAAGACGTCGTTCCCGTCCACGCGGATGGACATGATCCCGTAGCCGGGGCCACGGGCCGCTGGGGGAGGAGAGACGCCGCCGGTCACGCTCTGAGCCCTGGGGCCAGCCCCCTGCCCGATCTCACGCCCTGCCCCTAACAGCCCCCTGCCCATCATCAACCCCCAGCCCCTTCCTAGGATTCCCCACCCGCCCCCAGAGGTCCCTCCAGCCAACCCCGAGCCCCACGCCCTGCCACCAAACCCCCCCTGCCCATCATCAACCCCCAGCCCTTCCTCGGATTCCCCACCCGTCCGCCCCCAGTGCTCCTCCAGCCAACCCTGAGCCCACCCCCTGCCCCGAACAGCCCATCATCAACCCCCAGCCCCTCCCTCGGATTCCCCGCCCGTCTGCCCCCAGTGCTCCTCCAGCCAACCCTGAGCCCACCCCCTGCCCCGAACAGCCCATCATCAACCCCCAGCCCCTCCCTCGGATTCCCCGCCCACCCCCAGTGCTCCCTCCTGCCAACCCTGAGCCCCGCGGCAGCCATGCGGAACGGGGGGGCTCTGCGCCCTGCAGGGGTGCTGGGGGAGATCCCGGGCCCTCTGGCTGCAAACCCCACCCAGGAGCTGGGCCGACGTTCCACAGGCTGGTGGCAAAGCAATCGCCCAGGCGGGTCGTTGACTCAAAGTGCCCAGCTGTTCCCTAGCATCGCCTGACACACGGGGCCGCCCTCCCCCGCAGGAGAACGGAGCACGGGGGTCGCCCTGGTAAGGAGCTGAGCCATCTGGCGCAGGAGACCAGGAAGTCAGAAGAGGGGTGCTGCCGCTGGGGAGGCCAGGACCCCCCCGAAGGGTGAGTGAGCGAGGGGCATCGCAGGGGTGTGTCACAGGGCAACAGGTGTCCCAACGGCCACGTGTCTCCGGAGGGGGGCGGCCAGAGGAGTCGGAAGGGGTCGTGCCCCGGGGCTGGGCAGCTGGACAGCAGGTTCCGGCTCTCACGGGAGGGTGG